TGGAAATTGAAGGTAGCAGTTTGCATATTTCCATGCCAATCACAGTAGTCAATTTTAGGATCTTTAAAGGGGTAATTCAGTTACCCACACAGTTCTGCTTTCTAAAAACATGCACAGGAAAGTATTTTCTTAGGCAAGCCAGTGAAGCTAGTTGCAGTATTTCAGACTCCAGCAACAACAATGAAAACATGACACCCTTCAAGTGTTGATTGGGAAGAGTATCTGGTGAGGAAGGGCAAAAGGAACAGGGAAAATGCCATAGGGCCATTTTCTGCTTGCCTTTGGTCTTAGGAGCCCACAACTACATCCTTTGTTCATTCCACAGAGGCTATTTGAAAAGGACTTGTGGGACATGGAGACATTTTTAAGTGATGTAGAACTTCATCAGTTGTGGTATCTAACACTGTCTCAAATCTAAGCTGTCATTGCTGACATGCTACAATATGAGACTTTAGTAACTCTGATCAATTCTGAAACAGTTTCTGGTGATAAAAATAGTCTATATGACTTTGAGATAAAACTTGTCACACTTACATTTTTGAAAATAATCTTTTCTGAGAACTAGACAATAACTGGCTTTCTTCCTGTAAAATTTAGCACCTTTCCCTTAAATTCTGACTCCGCTGAGCTCCTCTCCCCCAAAAAGCTTGCTTTAGAGTAAAATTCAAATTTGATTTTGAAATAAAGTTTATGGGGTGAGGTATAGAAACTTGACATTAAAAATTATTATAGTTTTTTATAGTATAATTGATGTACAATGTTATATTAATTTTAAGTGCCTAACAATTCTATACATTACCCAGTGCTCACCATGATAAGTGAAGTCACCATACAACATGATTACAACGCAATTGACTATATTCCCTATGCTGTATTTTTCATCCTCTGGCTTATTTATAACTAGAATTTTGTACCTCTTAATCCCCTTTGCCTATTTTACCCAAGAAAATTGATATTTTTGTTGGTGAAAAATGGTCAAATATTGGTGATTTCACAGAGTTTATAGGGTTCAATATGGTATTTCTAGTGTAATCTAAGTCTTAGTGTGTCTAAGTGTGCTTTTCTGGGAAGCCATGTTGGGACAAATTAACTTTGTTGCCTCAATGACCTGCAACTTATTTCTTAACTTATTCTTATTAATTTTGATGCCTTTCTTAGTTGTGTATAGTACTACTGTAACATTCAGCTCCAGCCTACAAACTCCAGACTAGGACAAGAATGGTGTTATTGGGAAGACCAAGACATTAAAAAAAGTAGATAACCCTGTGCAAAGTAAATCCACATATCCTCAACCATGTGGTACACTAGGTGATTTTTGCTTGCTACTCCTTGAAGGACATTGCATGCAGCTTCCTTAACTTTGAGATACAGCCTTCAATCAAACTTCCAGCAGAGCTGCCAGAGTGATTCTTTTTAAATTCTTTTAAAGGAAAGGATCCTTCCTTAGATTCACTCTACTTTGGTCATCTTTGGGAGGCTAAAGGCCAATATTATCATTCTATTTCTTTTTACTGTCACTTTTTGTGGCGAGTAGCCATTTAGTAATTACATACAATCTTCATTGTAAATGAATGTTAAAAATTGGTCAATTTCTTTTTTTTTTTTAAAGATTTTATTTATTTATTTTACACAGAGAGGGAGAGACAGCTAGAGAGAGAACGCAAGCAGGGGGAGCAGGAGAGGGAGAAACAGGCTCCTGGCTGAACAGGGAGCCCGATGCGGGGCTTGATCCCAAGACCCTGGGATCATGACCTGAGCCAAAGGCAGTTGCTTAACGACTGAGCCACCCAGGTGCCCCCAAAATTGGTCAATTTCATATGGATAGTATCACATATATCCAGAAAATCCGCAAAAATCCCAGATTATTAGATTTTCACAAAGTAAGCACATCCTGGTACCCAGAACCCAGAAGAGGAAACAAAACATTGCTAGAATCCCACAAACCCCTTCATGTCTCCATCAATATAACTCCCAGTAGTTATCCTACCCACACTTTTTAATATCAGAGGTGGTTTTGCTTCTATTTGAACTTTATATTAATGGAATCATACAGTATGTGTTCTTTGGTACCGGGCTTCTTTTGCCCAGCATCATTTTTGTGAAGACATTCCTTGCCGTTGCAAGTAGTTGTAGCTCATTCATTTCCATTGCTGTATAAAGTTTCATTGTACAAGTATTATCACAATTCATTTGCCCTTTTCTACTGTTATTAGACATTTGGGTTGTGTTTGATACTAGGGTATTACAAATAGTGTCTCTATGAACATTCGTGACTGTGTCTTTGGGTGAACATATTGTGTAGGATATATCCTAGGAATAGAATTGGTGATAAAAAGATGCATGCCTTCAGCTAAGCAGATATTGCGAGACATTTGTCCAAAGTGGTCGTACCAATTTACACACCCACCATCAGGTGTTGGCGAACTCCGATAGCTCCTTATCACTGCAGTTAATATCATGTCTTTCACATTGAAGCCATTCTGATGGGTGTGCTATAAGTACAACTCGGTCTTAATTTGTGTTTCTCATGACTAATGCTGTTGAGCACTTTTTAACATATTTGTTGGCAATTTGAATAAAGCAGTTCAATTTTCATGAATACTAAATAGGTGATATGTGGGTATGGCTAAAATCATATGGGTGGTGGTGAAATTGCTAAAATTTAGTAAACACTGCTTTCATTAATGAATCTTTTACTAATGGGTACATTTATTCCTTTAGAAAAGCTTTTGGTCTAGTAAATTCAATTAAATATAAGCTTAAGAGTTAATTATGAATAACCCCCTCTGTGGAATGATGTGAGACTACCAAGGTCCATGTCATGGGAAGCTGCCCAGAGGAGACCATTTATTTTCAATATAACTATTCTTTATAAGACAACAGATTTATACAATATTAATGAAAGAAATATAACAAAAATAATTTTAATGGTTAGATGACAGTATTTCTATAGTTGAAATTTTTCTCAAAATTATAAGAGGAAAAAGGAAAAATATAGTATGATTACTGTGTTAACTCAGAGTGTGCTACAGATGGTGTGGTCTAGCAATAAGATACACATTTTTTTAAAAATTTATTTTGGAGAGGTGGGGAGGGGCAAAGGGAGGAGAGGGAAACCCAACCAGACTGCGCACTGAGTGTGGAGCCCGACGCCAGGCTCAGCCTCACAACCCCAAGATCATGACCTGAGCCAAAACCAAGAGTCAGATGGTCAACTGACTGTGCCACCAGGTGCCCCAGATACACATTTTTAAGTCTCATGATCTTTGACAACTTCTTTGACTCTTGCCAGGGTATCTCTACGACTATATGTATGTTATTATTTGTAAACAGTGTCTTGAGGTTCAGCCCTGATTCACAGCCAGAAACACAGTAATTTCACCAGTTGCTACATGAATAGTTTCTGCTTGTAGATGCTCCAAATCTGATGGTCCTTGGAAGTCTTCTTGCCCAACCCTATTCTCCCACTCAGTCTTCTTCTCCTCCTTCTCCTGTCCCCCCCGCCAACATCTGCTTTTATATTCAATGAAAGTTAGTCAACATTTTTGATAATCAGCAAAATGATCCAAACTCTAAATTTTTTACCGCAAATCTGTAATGCAACCCCTGCTTGTATTCTAAAAACTATGCGATGCTGAGGCACTATGCTCCTGTAAGAGCATATTCTAGGAGTCCTTCATGCTCCCATTGTGAATCTTAATCCATTTTATCTCCTATACCAGAAACCTTGGAATCCTCTTTCTTCTACTTCTTTTTTCTCCTCCCTTGTTATCAATCTGACATCAAGCCTTGGCTATTCTTTCTTTAAATTTTTATTCTTTGGGTAACAGACCCCTATAAAATAAAAATAATTGGGTGACAGGAGCTTCATATTATTGTTGTTTTGTTGCTTTGCTGTCTCCAGAAGGTTAAATATGTCTAAGGTTTCAAAGCTTAAGTGATAGAGATGGTGTTTGAACCTAGATTTTCTAACTCCAAAGTCAATGGTCTTAAAACACTATGCTATTACATAGTGCCAGAGGAGGCCATTTTTAAGCTGAGTCTAGAAACATGAGCAGGCCTGACAGTGGGGCAGAATATAGAAGAATGTACTGGAAAAGCCTAAATAAAGTCTGGAGGCATAAACATGTGTGAAACTTGGGAAATTGCAAATGTCAAGTGTGATTACTGTAACTGATAAAGAATTAACTACCAACTTGTTTTCTATGAGGAATCTAGACTTGAAAAATGACACCTAGTGTTAGCTTCTCAAAGTACCATGAACCAAGAGTAGACTGGGCTTAAGGTTCAGTTACGATTACAAATCTGAAGTTCTGTAGCTTGAAGTATTTGGATTTATCTCATATCATTTATCAGTAATTTCTACACCAAGAGACACATTCCCTATGCATGAGTGGAGAAAATGTTTTATGGATAGCTTTTTACTTTCCATGTGAGGTCTCATGTCAGCTCTCTAAAATGTAGAAGTGAGCAGTCCATGAGAATGTCTGGAGAAATAATGTGAACTCTATAATTTTTACAGCTAAGATGCTATTATAGATTAAACAGAAAAGCCCTGGCAGCCTCTAGTTACCCAAATAATCATTTCATTATCTCTTTCTGGGTTGCAATTATTTATTTCTAACTAGTGTTTTACTATAGCATTAAAGATACTCCTTTCAGAATTAAAAGCAGTAGCCAAATGCATTATCTTTGTCTGACACCGCATTTTAGTTTGCTGTTAGAAAAATAAAAGTCCTTTATCGCCTTACTAAATTCTAATACCTTTTACCAAAACCTTTTAAAATGATTAGGCAGATTTTTTTCCCCAAATATTTGAAGTTTCACAAATATTTGAAGAATTTAAAATACTGTAGGGAAGGTCTATAATTTCTGAATAAACCTTGTTCTATTTCAGGGCCAAATATTTATTCAATTGTTGAAAAAAATTATGTCGGAGATAAAGTTGAAACAAGTGTCTCTCGAATGAGTAATCAGCATGTGGTATTCTTTACCTGTAGGTTGAAGAAAAAGTCCCAGTCGGTGGATATTACCGCTCCCGGGTTCAGCCCTCTGGCTGCTGCAGGAAAGCCAACGCCACAAGCCAGTAAGCCCCCCACACCCAAGACGCCCATCATTGAAGAAGAGCAGAACAACGCGACCAATACCCAGAAGCATCCTTCTCGGAGGAGTGAACTGAAGAGGTTCTACACCATTGGTAAGCACCAGACATTTTATGCATGTGAACAGGTGCAGTCTGTCTGAACAGCTCTGTGAATGCGTGGGTCTGCAGTTAAATGCCCCCTTGCTTACAGGACACACGTATCTTTCTGCTGGTTGATGCGGTCATTTTCTCGTGCAGTTTGAACATGGAGATGGAAGAGCACTGAGAACCTTCCACAAAGTTAAGTTAGAGAGAGGCTTGGGGACCGTCCATGTCCTGGCCTGAGGGGAGTTAGTCATATGTATCTGTGGTTCTCCAGTGTGGGAGTTTATGTGCTACCACTTTCATTTTTGCCCCTCTCAGCCAACGCCACTTCTTATTTATTTGTGTTTCTTCTTTTCATGTTTCCTCCAGGCTTTCAAGTCTCTGACCATGTTCTGTCAGGTTGTTGAGACAGTGGTTGATGTGCCCCCATAACTAACAAAGCCATTAAGAAAATAGAGGCTGAGGGAGGACAGATTGCAGTGCAGGTGTGCATTGGCCTTGCACGTTACTTCACTTTGGAGGGATTGAACCCCACATAGAACCCATCAGCTAAGGAAATAGTAAACTGGGGGTAGAGTCGTGCAGGCACAGTGCCCCTTTTTTTGCATAGGGGAGATAAATCAACCCAGGAAGAGGAGATGGAGGCTTGACATTGCTTATTATTTCATTTTAGAGAGATTTGGTCGTATCCAAAAGCCTTAAAAGTAGAGACTATGGCTTCATGGTTTACTAAAGTTACATCAAAGGGTCACATTTTATTTGGTATCTACCACCTCAACCCAATATGGGATGTTTGAAAATTTTGTCTCAGCTACTTTAGTGTTCTTATCTAGAGATCACACTCAAGAGGCCAGATTTCTAATTCTTACTCCCACATCAATTTTCTGTGTGACTTTGTCAAGACATGTTTTGTGTCTTTGGGTTAAGTTGTATCCTTCAAGCTTGAAGACATGCCTCCATGTAGGCCTAGCATTGTTTCAGGATATGGCGACTAAAATCACGCTTTCCCTTTCTGCCATTTTATGTCTTCTTCCTGTATCTACTCTCTGGTGTCCTCTTTCCTGATAAAGATGTTCAAATCTTATTTTTCAAGAGAGAGCAGGCATGGTGTCTTTGAGGATATCAATAGTCAAGTAATAAGAATTGATATAAGACAGTGTAAACAGTCTTATTTTTAAAACTTACAATAGCATGTTTCTAAAAATCAGTTAACTAGAAAAGCCCATAATGTTTACATAACTGACTCTCTGTTTTCCAGTGTCCTCTCCTTCCACCCTTTAACATGTCAACCACCTTCTATTGCTTTTCCAACTTACTAACTGGCTAAGAAGAAACGGTATTTTGCCTTCAGAAAATAGAGTTTATCATATAAACTCAATGTTCTTTAAAGATGAGAAAATGAGGGAGAAACAATGACAAGCTTGGCCACATAAATAAAGAGATAAGCCTAGAAAATAGAAGTCTAAATGGTGAGTTTGGGTTACAGAGAGAGGAAGTGTGAGTTATCATAAATGACCCCACCACTAGTGAATATTTAATTAGTGGACTTGCAACAATTTGATTCATAACAAGTGCAAATGGCATGGCTATTATGTTAAAAGAGATATCTGAATTGTTAACTTCATGTGTTTTTATAACCCCTCTACTAATTTGGACCCGTAACTATTATTTTCAAGGCTGAAATATTAGCAACTATGTAATCGCCTGTATTGAAGGGTTATTTCACAAAACAAGTTCTTTCAGTATCCCTTAATGATATGTGTTGGTAATAACAACAACAACTAAAATTACCCCTTATTGGTAATGCCATATACAAGGCACAAGTGAAGCTTGTTAGGTAGGTGTTCTACTCTTTATGTTTATAGATAAGGGATAGAACCTGAGAGAAGTTAAGGAGCCGTGAGCAAGAGATAGCAGATTCTGCAGATGAAATTAACCTTCTCTTGTGACACTTCAGAATCAGCCTTCAGTTATTCAGAAGGCTACCTGCAGAGGTGCGCCAAATGAGTTTCTATAGGTAATACAGTGGAGTAGTATTTTTACTTCAATTCTCAGATAATCTCATTTAAGGAAACCATGCCAACTAACCCATCCACCAGCCAATGTGCACTTTCATTGAAAGGTATCTTTCAATGTTTCAATTTATGGTTCACACAATTGAATAAAACCTAGGAGCCCTCATGTGGCTAAGTTGAGTACTACATTTAAATTTTGCAATGAAGAGCAGTACTGTATTTAAGTGAAATAATATATTTAAAATCAAACAATGATTCTGGGAATTAAAGAATTTTCAAATTAAAAAAACTAGAAATTTTTGAAGTTATTTAACTGTCTTTTAGTGCCTGGTGGCACAGTAGCTTCTCTAGGAATTTCTTTTTTTTTTTTTTTTAAGATTTTATTTATTTATTTGAGAGAGAGAGAGAGACAGTGAGAGAGGGAATACAAGCAGAGGGGGTGGGAGAGGGAGAAGCAGGCTTCCTGCTGAGCAGGGAGCCTGATGCAGGACTCGATCCCAGGACCCTGGGATCATGACCTGAGCCGAAGGCAGACGCTTAACAACTGAGCCACCCAGGCACCCCTAGAAATTTCTTTTGATCTCACAGCTGTTATCCTTCATGAACCTATGTGTAGGATCTATTGCCTGTTGAGCGGACTCTAAGAAAGACATACAGTATTCTTATATAGATAGTAGATTCGGGTCCTTAATTATTCCTAGTAAGAGAAACATATTAAACCTAATAGCAGCAAAATAATGACACAGCATAAACTCATTTTTTATAAGAGAATTAATCCATCTTACAAGAAGTGTAATAACATTTCATTGGTTTGGAATGAGTAGGGGAAAAGCTTTTCTCTATTGATATGAAATATATGAATCTAAAGATAAATTAAAAGGAAGTAATCACCCTCCTTGCTTTTAAACTCCCTTGGCCTCTGACACTTACTTGTCCCCCTGATCTTCCTGTGTTGGCATGTCTGTCTCCATACCAGGTTTCCATTAGTATGGGTAGGGGATGATGCCGTTAATTTCACTCATCCAAGTACTTCGTAGAGTGTGAAGTACATAGTGAGTGCTAAATAAGTTTTGAGGGTGGTAAAGAGGAGGGAGAAAGGGGGACTAGCAGAGGTTGTGAGGATTAACCTTGCCCTTGCGAGTGGAGGAGAAGAGGAGGAAATCGGCTAAGAGTTCAGTTTAAGGAGGAGCCTTGGAGGCTTCGTTCTAGTTCTTCATTGCTCCTCAGAGAAGGATTGGAACACCTGCTGTGGAGAACAATGAATCAAATAATACTATCTATCTATCTATCTATCTATCTATCTATCTATCTAATCTATCTATCTAGATTAGAGTTATCAAAGTCCTCTTTTATTACTTATGCTATTTAAGTGCTCTCTGAAACTTCACAGAGAAGGCAGACAAGGATGGAACTTGGCCTTCCCAGGTTCCTGGCTCAGCAGGACTTCCAAACAGGTGTGCTATGGGGGCTCCTTGGCTCTCAGGTGTCTGAATGAATAATACCTTTGGAGCTGTCCTTCAGTTGAGACCTCTCTCCCTCTCAGGTCCTCACCTTGTCATAGGAACTGACAGCCTGCTCACCTTCTTTAATCTCCTGTTGACTCTCATGGCTCAGTCTTTGCCTTTTATTCTATCTGTATTAATGTCACTGTAACACCTTCTCTTTGTAAAACACCACCTATGGTGAATCAGTTCTTTACACAATAATTTCCACTTATATTTGGATGAATGAATTCTGGGTTTATTTGGGGCATATGTATAGCTCAAACTCTCCCACATATGAAAATATGTTCATTTATGAGTCTATTCATTAATTCAGTTATATTTATTGAATGCCCACCACATGCCAGGCCTTATTTGAAGTTCTGCTAATAAAAGAGTAAATAAGACCAAGTCCATGCCCTCGGGTGCTTATATTCTAGTGGGGAGGACAGGCTATAAATGATCAGAAAGTTAACACATTGTCAAGGAATGATAAGTATTTAAAGAAAAAAACAGGTTAAGAGAGAAAGGTGATAGAAAAGTTACTCTGTAAAATGTGTTTAAATCTTATAGTTTTTATTTGATGAATTTTGTCAGATGACCTATACAGTTCTGAGAAATCAATTAGCATGGTTTCAATTACAGGGCATTAGATGTGTTCATAATACATTTTTCAAAGAGTTGTTTTTTACTTTCCTTGCATAGAATTAGGTTTTGAAAAGACTAATGGAATTGACATTTGCAGCATGAAGAAGCAAATGATTGAGGGGAAATTTAATGACCCTCAAGCTTCCCAGCATTGTTGAAAGAAGGGGTGTGCAGATGTTTTTCATTTCTACCAAGAAAAGAATAAGACACGACGCATAGTATCTGTAGTATAGAATATTGAAATTAAATAAAGAATGTGACACGTTTTAGTATATGTTACTGGAAAGTTTGCTTTTTGTTTGTTTTTTAAAGTACAGCTCTTGCCTCTTTAGAATGGTTCAGGAGTCAATTTGCCTAGAGGGAAAGTGATAAGACCAGCTCTCAAAGATCCGAAATGATTTTGATCAATGTCAGGAAGGCCCTGGTGTACTCATTCCATGTGCTTATTAATCCCCTGCTTTTGCTCACATGATCAGCGATCAGTGGTGAGATAACTGGCAGCGGAATCTGATGTCTAAGTTGGAATCCCATTCCTCTTGGTAGTTATATGAGCATGCATAGGTACTTAGACTCTCAAAGCTCGGTGTCTTCACATCTTTCCTTTTTTACTAAAGTGCTGTTGTGAGGAGTAGGTGAAATAGTCTGCATGAATGATCGTACTGGTGCCTGGAATGGGGAAGTTCTCCATCAGTGTTAGTGAGCTTGTTGTTGCTGTTGCTGGGCATCAAGTAAGCAGCGAGCACACATGATCCCTGGGTGGGATGTGAAGCTTAACCTGGAATTTATGTGATGCAAGCCTCCTATCTTTTTTTTTTTTTTTTTTTAAGCCTCCTCCTATCTTTTGATCCTTGTAGATCTGGTCAAC